AAAAATTAATCACACAAGCCGCCGTGTGAACGCAAGTCGGTTTATTTTGGGTAAGTTAAACAAAAACGCTGGAATTTGAAATGATGCCTAAACAAGTTTACATGCAGTTTTATAGTATTATAATAGAGTGTGTAATTACTACTTAATTTGCATAGGCTCTTAAAAGGATATGTTAAAATTCCGAAATAGAGTGCTGCGACAAAGTTTTATTGGATTTATTGATTAGTGCCTAACCATATTTGTTATGCGAACGCTTGCACTTTTTTAAAAATTAGCAACGTTTTTTGCATGGTGAGATAGATCTTTAAGTTATATCAAAAAAATTATTTGCTAATTCCTCTTTTGGAAAAAATCAATGAAATAAAGGTTACTGGTGTCTTTCAAATGTAAACTTGCAAGAAACCGTGTAAGTCCTAGTAAATATTTCTTTTCATACCAATTCTAAATGCAGCTTTGCTGGTGCATATCCGTATTATTTTTTTCCTTATTGAGATATTGTCTTTGTACAGAAAATTTTTTTTAATGCAAAGTTTGCTGGTATGTTGTGCCATTCAGTTGGTGATCTTCAAATGAAATTTGTGAACTTTTGCAAAGTCGGAACACCTATGACAAGACAAGCCACGAAATACCATTGATTTTATTCGGTTCTAGAAATTAACCATCATTACGTTCAGCATGACAAAAGTAATTCAGCTGGGCGTTGTGGCTACTCTACAGTAACAATGCTTTTTCGTTATGTAATAAATTTGTAGAAGTTTTGTGAAAAAATCGAAAAATGAAATTATCACGAATGATGATTTTTAAACGATTATCTGAAATACTGAAGTATAATTTTAAGCTTGGATGAAGTAAGCGTTTGAAATTTTTGATGGCAAACTTTGTTTACTCCTATTCGGTTTTCATACCTTGAGAATAGAATTATTAATTATTATTGACTGACTTAAATGCTGACGTTTTTTGCGCATGAATTTCAGCGCGTCCAAAAAATAAAAATTCCTCTTTTATGACCCTTCCAGGAAATTAATGAATAGCAATCTGTCTATGCCTTACGAATTTGTCTACACCCTTACAGGCAACATTATCCATTTAGTTTATATAAGTAGATATATTATGACTGGTAGCCAATGGCAAAGTCCTGTGCTGTGCTACCAATTCGACTGCGAAATTGTTCTTGATTAAACGATGTACACACGCGAATTTATTGATGCAAAGTTGGAACAAATGACCGTCCTTTTAATAGCCAAGACTTACGATCCACTGAGTCGTCAGGTAGTAGAAACTCTTAAAAACTATAATCTAAACAGAGGACGTAACAACGTTTTTGAGGTTCTCTACATTGACCAGCGACAAGATGTCTCCGTAATCGACACCTACATATATCAGAAGTGGTTAACCAACGATAGAACTGTGAGTTTGGTTGCAGTTTGTCATGATTTAGAACATTTGCATTAATATATAAAGTTCACACTCTATTGCTCAACTTGACGTAGATAGCAACTAGCCATACTACAGGTTATGCATTAAGTGTGAAAATCTTGCTTACTCAGACTTTTAAACACGCATTCAATATCCACTCCCAGACAAATATTTCTCCTGAATATTAGGATAACCTCCTTAAAAACTGGCTAGCTTCTATAGAGGAATATCTGTTTTAACGTTTCACGCAACGTCGCGGAGGTAAATTTGTTTCTTACAAGTTTGGAAATGCATAGAAAATATTTCTTCATTAATCTCGATCCGCAAATATTGAAGACACGATATGACTACGGCCGCAGAATATCCCAATCCTTTGAATTGCTATTTTACTATCCTAGGCACCCTACTTGTTCATTCGCGGAAAATATATCGGTGGAGGAATGGAACTTATCAGGATGAGCCGATCAGGCAAGCTGGCAAGAATTCTTATGGAAAACTGCCTGTGGTAAAATTCGAAAGTTCAAACGGTGCTTGGAATGAGACAAACAATTTTATTTATAGCCGAAATAAGGGAGATCCTTATCATATTGGTTAGCACGGACTACGTAAAATGAGTTTCTTACAGTAAAACAAGTATATACAAGCTTATGACTCCATTGAAAGTTTAGAAATAGTCCCTGGTTGGCGGCCCCTGCCCGGGTTAAACTTTGGATTGACCTCCAAGTTTTTAAGGCTAGCGTAGAAGCGGTTGCTAATTACATGTTCCACCAAATAATCGAATCCGCATTCTTCATATTCCTTCCTCGTTGTAAAATCCTTGAATCCACTTTCACTTGAACGCTTGCTCCAAAGCTGAGCTCCTCGCCAGGCATCGAGGCTAGGATCAGCTGTAAGAAAAATACACATTTAGACCTCGTGACCTACTGCCTCGACGATTGCAAATTCAGTTTCCGATTAAGCAATAAAAGAGACTTGCCTGCCACAACTACCCTTGGTGGGTTTCCATCCTCTCTCCATGGTAACAGCTGCTGAAGCTCTATTTGCAACCGCTCCTTCATTCCAGGTAGTTTTGCCAAGCCTCCCGTGAGGAAAAGAAGTTGTGGCACCCATGGTTTCGAGGCATCTTGATAGAGATATCGGGATGAATCGCGCAATACCCAAGAAAGGCACTCTCCTACACCAGCTTGTGAATTGCCCATTAAGCTGCGCTCAAAAAGTACTTCTGTTGCGCTAAAATTAAACGAAGTCAAAAACAAAACTGGAAATGGGCCGAGTATGATAGCCGTTTTCATCATCCGTTTGTTGAAAAAGTAATTAAATGGAGTAGAAGTACGCAATTTAGTCGTGTAAGGCAGTATTCAATTCGGTAAGACGAAACATCGAAATTGGGACGGGACATCTGACTGTAAAACATTTCTTGAATTTTATTTTCTTATTTGCAAAAAAGATAAAAATGTTTTCAGGAGGGACAAAAACTAACACCTAAACCCTATTTCACGTAAAATAAAAACCAAAGAGTAATTTTTCGGTGTTGAGATAGTGCTCTGAGAAGTAAAAATGGAATTGATGACTAATGATGTCTGATTTTCAAGCTCCACACACATTCGGCACGTTCAGTGAAAGAGCGCAAAGTGATAAATCGACTTACCGGATTGGCTCAGATGAAAGATGTATCTTGTAGTATTCGGAAATATCCACCTTCAGCCCAACTGTGCCCGTTTCTCTACAAGAACAATAGACATTTCAACTATCAGCACAAAGTGGCCGGGTTCCAAGCAAGGACGCTTCACGTGTTCGCAGTTAGAGAAATCCACATTAGAACTCAGTGGCACCTCAAAAAAACAGGACAGATCACATGCTTCCTGAAGCGCCAGTAGTCTCAGATTTCAAAATGCCAGTTTTGCAGTCAAATTACAACGCAGAATCGAATTACCTGGGTTCGGGTGGTAGCGGTTTTAGTTAATAATGACACCTCACACTAATGGAATGCACCTGGGGCATGTTCGAAACTCGTAAAGACAGAAATAAGAATTTCAAACATTGTGATCACTGTGCATTTGGCTCGTAGTGCTCGCGTTCATCAAACAATTTTTCCTAGTCACGTTCTTGCCCCAATCCTAAAATAAACTATAATTCGACACATCCAAATGATCTCCTCATGAGTTTCAGCATGAAATGTTCAATTTTCTTTTTTGAGGCACTTTTTGACGATAGTAAAAGTCCCAACACATTGAAAAAGAGGTCTGCTCAAGTTTGCATACTCCAAGGTGTGGAGTGATTGGAAATGTGGCAAAAGTACATGAATGCATTGCCATGCGCTTAAATAAACGTGATCAGATCTGAATCGAAAGCAGCCCAAGTGCCAAACAACGGAAGCGAGATTTTAGACAAGACATATTGGGTCGTCTAGGAAATTGACCATTCCATGTTACTTGAAAACCTGAAAGTACACAATTAAGACACGCAAATGATGGGAATAAAAACTCGGCTTGAGAGTAAAACTGTGGATTACTTGAGGAATTCTGGGTCGTAGGAGGCTCGAACACTGTCGAGGACCGCCAGCTGATCGCGCTCGCATTCGCTTAGATCTGCGCTTTCATCCTCCAGCCTGTCAAAGGCGTCTTTAGCTCGACTCCTCGAGTTGTTTGCGCTGCTCATTGAGATGAAGGAGGTCGGTGAGGCCGGTGATTGATCCTGTTGATTTTGCTGGGGAATCGGATCCAAATCAGCGAGTTCCGCCACAGGATCCTCAGAAAATGCATCCAAACTATCAAGAACCATCTCCTCTTCCAGCCAACTGTCCTCATCACCAATTGGAGTCATTTCGCCCACATTGCGACTGGAGTCCTTCCGTGAAACCTGCTAAACGAATTGTTCGTTGTCACTTTTGAAGGAGACTAGGTGAAAGTGGGCATAAAATCACTTCGTCTTGGCCTAGCCACATCTTCTTTAAGTAAACCAATAGAAAATCAACTCACTAGTTTCCGACTACCTCCACGTCCCCCACCACCACGTTTGGCACCTCCACCGCGTTCAGATTTCAATTCGCTAGTCATTGCACGAATCTTTTCGATTTTTCGTTGTTTTCGATCACTCACTGGAGCTTGCGGAGCAACATTATCCTTCTCCTCGTTCAAATTGTCCTGATTGTGAAGGCCAAGTTCTGTGGCTAAGTCGACCTTAGATTGGCGGAGAGTTCGCTGCTTGGCTATTCGCTGTCGTTTATTATTTACCTGAGATAGCCATAGCTGAAATCAATAAGAGACCATTAGATCACTTGCTGTATCCAAAAATATAGATTGTATGAGTGTCACTTACACAAAAATCATGTCCGCGTCTTGCTTCGAGATCATTTTCAGCCAAAATTCGCTACAAAGAAAAGATGTATTACAGAACCACTGGTACTTAGATCCTCAGTCAAGTTACACACACTGCCACATACTCGTTTCATTTTTTGGTCATTCAAACCTTGCAAGCTAGTGGGTGGAGTAGCTGTCATTTGGGCTTGGACGGCGGCAGGATAAGCAAGGGAACCAAGAAGTTCGGTGGCCTTTTTTTCACGGAGATTAATGAGTTTTCTTAGAAGTGATTCCTCACTTGTTTCACCGTCGCAAAGAGACGGCGAAGCTATGGTATCCCTTCCACTGTCTCCGATATCCCGTTTCACATCTCCATGAATGCTTTGAGCATCAGACTCATCTGAGTCAAACTGTTCATCTTTCACCTATGCACATTAATAAACAACATATGAAAAACACGCAAATTAATAATAGCTACCAAGTCCTACAGTTCATACTCTTTCAAGGGCTCGTTTTCGATGAAATTCTCGAAGTCGATCAGCCTGAAATTGTCTGCGTTCGACCAATTCACGGGCCTTAAGTTGCGTTTCCTAAATAGCGCAAATAGATTTTAGAAAAAGTATTGAGAAGAAAACAAACTGGATATTAACAACGAAACTAACATCTGAATAAGGCATATTCCACGTGTGTGTGTTATCGAGTCTGTAGACTTCATCCTTCCACCGGCACATTTCTTCTCGGTAATTCTCGCACACTCTTCCATAATTGTGAATGAGGTCCTTTGGAGAAAATAACAATTAATAAGTGCACTCAGTAAAGCATTAATCTCAGCTAACACCCAAATGTAGTCATTACTTCAGCAATAAGGGTTGTAATTTTTTCGGCGTGACACGGATACTTAAGCGCCAAAAGTTGCTGCAAATACCACGAGACGTGGGCACCGCCAACAGACAATCGACGGCACGCCCCTGGTATATACATGGGCACTGGTTCACCAGAAAATGGAATAATATGTGTCGTGTGATACCCGAATGAAACCATGACTGTATCAAAGTGGGAGCCTAAAAGCAAGCAACAGATGACAATCCGGAGATAAAATATTCGTACCTTCAAAAGCGTGATCGAAGTTCCAATAAAAAGAGGCAAGTCCATCAACAAAGAAGGAAAGCTTGTTGACAGAGTATGTTTCATAAAGGAGTTCCGTGACTTCTAATAGATAAGGAAATTAGCGCAAAATTATTATGAACTTACGAGAACGACACTGCTGGGGACAACATAAAGCCTCACTCATTATTACAGGATGATCTATTCCATTTGATTGTACGCCAAGTTTCGAAAAAATATGATCAAAGACAATTTCCTGGACATCCAACTGAGTAACCAGGTTTTGTTCAAATGCCGATTTGGTATTAACTTGGTTAACGTCCATATCATCATCAACTGAACCCACAAACGTTTCCCTCATACGAGACCGCGATTTCATAACGACATTTCTGAATTGCATACTGGGCTCCTTTTTATTAGAGAAACCAGCCCGGCATTCGAAAGACCCATTGTCAATGACTATCGCATGTGCAACCATCTCGAAAATAAGGCTGCAGGTTAAGGATGTCAAATGGCTAAGTTGAACGCCTTTTTTGTCCTTTGCCCACCATTGGACAGCTTCATTTCGATGTTCTCAACTATTTACATCAATAAATTATTTACGATTTGATATTCTAGACTAGCCTTTGATTATTTAGCTGGTCTTTTCTTAGTATAAATAGTCATAGAATGCCAGAATGATTTGTAGCTCCAAGTCAAATGGATATACTCTTGAGAGCTGATATGTAGACCTATACGAAAACTGTATTCGGGAAACAATGGTCGCTTTGGCTTTGAATGGATCAGCAGATTTTGAGAAACCAGAGTAGCTTAAGAAGAAACTCTAAGAGCATTAGTAATCGAAATCTGAAAACTGATGTAAGCGAATCATTGTGTCACACAACTGAAACCTGTATGCTTATTTCAAAAAGCAAATATTCCAAAAATAAACTATTTAATCTCCATCAGTAAGTATTGTTGCAGGGTCCGCAGAAACTATGGATGATTTATATATCCCAGCCACATTATGCCCAAAGTTCTCTGCATGCCATTTAAATTTATCCATTCTTTTGTGTTTTATTTGTTAATTGGGTCATGTTGTGGGCCACAGCATGTGGTCTTGAAAAAAGCTGGGCCAATAAAAACCCTTGCCCGATTACCATTCCCTGATACCCGCGATGAGGAAAAAAGACCAGAGAGGATGCGGACACAACCGTTTACTTCAGAGCTCAACTAAGTTGCGTCTTTGTGTGGCGTGTGGGGTTTGCGCGTGTGTGCTTTATACCTCAGATGCGTGTGTTGTAGATGCGTTAACATCGAGACCTAGGTGTGAGGATAATCCAAGATAAATATTCGTCCGAATGAGGAGGAAGTTGAGGATACGCGCGGCTGGTGACATGCTGCGAAAAGGGGAACCCTGTGTCGGAGAATGGAGCGACCGGATTGAGGAGTGTGAATTAACGCGATTCACAACAGTCAATGTCAGTGCACAAGCCCTTGTACATTTTCAGCCTGACTGCAGGAGCATAAAAACCGTAGCAGGCTGTCTATGAAATGCAGTACTTATTTGCAGCTATTAGTGCAGTGGCCAGTACAGAATTTTTGTGATATTGTCACCCCTTAACGGCCAATCCATTTCTATGTTTAACTTTTGATAGTTCCATAAGTTTTAAAAAATGCTATTAACGGAGAAATGTTAGACGTTTACATCGGTGGACTTGCTTTTTTCCAACAAATTCTGCCAGGTTCTAAAACTTACAGGTAACTCATTTCTTTTAATTGGCATCTTAGAAATCGTGATATGTTAAGTGCTTAGTTGCATGTCTAAGGTAAATTTGTTTATAAAGGCTAGCAACTTCTTCCAGACATTGACGTTTTACCTGTGTGTGGTCATCAATATTATCTACTGGGGCCTATTAAAGTCAATATTGAAATTATAAGCCAAATTGTTTCACATTTTCGACTTACTAAATGTTAAATTTTTGTGTAATTCCGGATCCTAAGTCGGTTATTGACTAGACGCATGGACTCTCCACCTTCGCCAAATTGCGAACAATCTAAAGAAATAAGGCATCAAAGTGGTGAATGGTTTTGGAGAGCGCTGTTTGATTTCTAGCCCTTTCCCCATTCTATGATGTACAGTTTATCATGAATATCGCAAAATCCTGCTTATTATGTTGTTGTGATTCGTGTTTACGCACAGTCCTTAATCCGGTCGCTCCACCTCTGACACAGGGTTCCCCTTTTCGCAGCGCGGATCCTCAACTCCCACCTCATTCGGACGAATATTTATCTTGGATTATCCTCACACCTAGGTCTCGATGTTAACGCATCTATAACACACGCATCTGAGGTATAAAGCACACACACAAACGCCACACACCACACAAAGACACCAACTTGGTTGAGCTCTGAAGTGAACGGTTGTGTCCACGTCCTCTCTGGTCTTCTCCTTCATCGCGGGTATCAGGGAATGGTAATCGGGCAAGGGTTTTTTATTGACCCAGCTTTTTTCAAGACCACATGCTGTGGCCCACAACAATATTTTAACCCAAATAATCCCGGCTACGGTTTGTCATCCAAGTACATCCGATGTTTCAAACCAGTGGATCCATTGACATTATTCATAATCAGAACCAAAGAAGTGTTGGCAAATCATAGATGCCAAGCGTGTCACCACCCAGTTGGATTGCATGTGGGGAAAACATCTGAAATTGATGGGAAGGTCTTACTGCAAGTCAACACGAATTTTAGTACAGCAAATCATTGTGACATCGCTTGGAACCAAGCTAGAGGCTGAAAGCAGTTTATCTTGCGAGGGACAGACGGCGTAGTGCCAAAAGACATATTTTTATGCGCCAAACTCAGCCAACCCTGTGTCCTTGTGTGTTTGAGTAGTCCATGCGGAATATCAGCAGCCAAACAGAAACATTGATTAATAAGTTGTACTATTTAATTCGTCTATATCGCCGATATGGGGTACCCAGGTCGAAAGCGCCCGGTGGACGGTTCTGGCTTGTGATGTGCCGATAAGGCTTGTTTTGTTGAACTTATTCTCCTCATACTAAAGATGGGAGTTAGGAGGATGACCAATAAAATAATTAGTCTGTGATGACCAGCGAACGAACACGTATTCAATCGATTTCCTTTACTTCACTTCACGCAGCTATGTTCGTTCAGAGATTGACTTATCCCGTTGTATAAACACGGCATTACCGTACCACTAAATTGTTTGGACTACGTGCAATCCCTAGGAAGGAAACACTGGAGTTCTTTATGCGATTGACAATGAGCCACATCCCTGACATTTAATGATTTCCTTCGATTTCACTTGGAAAACTGCATGAAGTCTTGTAGTGACTAGAGGATTTAGCACTACCTTACAACCCTCTAGTTAACAGCCCGTAGCTACCCGAGGATAGGAAAAAGG